GGCAGGCAGGCAGGCAGGCTTGCAGGCTGGGAAGGAGGCAGGCAGGCAGGCAGGCTTGCAGGCTGGGAAGGAGGCAGGCAGGCAGGCAGGCTTGCAGGCTGGGAAGGAGGCAGGCAGGCAGGCTTGCAGGCTGGGAAGGAGGCAGGCAGGCAGGCAGGCTTGCAGGCTGGGAAGGAGGCAGGCAGGCAGGCTTGCAGGCTGGGAAGGAGGCAGGCAGGCTTGCAGGCTGGGAAGGAGGCAAGCAGGCAGGCAGGCTTGCAGGCTGGGAAGGAGGCAAGCAGGCAGGCAGGCTTGCAGGCTGGGAAGGAGGCAGGCAGGCAGGCAGGCTTGCAGGCTGGGAAGGAGGCAGGCAGCCAGACAGGCTTGCAGGCTGGGAAGGAGGCAGGCAGGCTTGCAGGCTGGGAAGGAGGCAGGCAGGCAGGCAGGCTTGCAGGCTGGGAAGGAGGCAGGCAGGCAGGCAGGCTTGCAGGCTGGGATGGAGGCAGGCAGGCAGGCAGGCTTGCAGGCTGGGAAGGAGGCAGGCAGGCAGGCAGGCTTGCAGGCTGGGAAGGAGGCAGGCAGGCAGGGATGCTTGCAGGCTGGGAAGGAGGCAGGCAGGCAGGCAGGTTTGCAGGCTGGGAAGGAGGCAGGCAGGCAGGCAGGCTTGCAGGCTGGGAAGGAGGCAGGCAGGCTTGCAGGCAGGCAGGCAGGCAGGCAGGCAGGCAGGCAGGCTTGCAGGCTGGGAAGGAGGCAGGCAGGCAGGCAGGCTTGCAGGCTGGGAAGGAGGCAGGCAGGCAGGCAGGCTTGCAGGCTGGGAAGGAGGCAGGCAGCCAGACAGGCTTGCAGGCTGGGAAGGAGGCAGGCAGGCTTGCAGGCTGGGAAGGAGGCAGGCAGGCAGGCAGGCTTGCAGGCTGGGAAGGAGGCAGGCAGGCAGGCAGGCTTGCAGGCTGGGATGGAGGCAGGCAGGCAGGCAGGCTTGCAGGCTGGGAAGGAGGCAGGCAGGCAGGCAGGCAGGCTTGCAGGCTGGGAAGGAGGCAGGCAGGCAGGCAGGCTTGCAGGCTGGGAAGGAGGCAGGCAGGCTTGCAGGCTGGGAAGGAGGCAGGCAGGCTTGCAGGCTGGGAAGGAGGCAGGCAGGCAGGAAGCGATATATGGGTGTTGAAGTGAACCATGAACCACGTGACCTTTGAGTGTGTGTGTGTGTGTGTGTTTGGGTTTGGGGGGGGGGGCGGGGGGGTGGTGTATGGGTGGGGGGGGAGGGACCGGCTGACTCCGTAAGCCTAACCACACTCCACAGACCTGTGACCCAGATTTGTTTCTTAAATGTACAGTACAGCATCGTATATTTTAGGCAGGATGTGCCTGCAGGCTGGCAGGAAACATCCAGAGGATGTTTGCCAGACGTCTTAATAATCAGTTAGGAACAATTAAGGACTTTTATAAAGCGGATCAGGACTTCACTTATTGGTGAGTACAAACAAAACACAGTCGCATTTACGCTATGAACATGTCGATTTTTTCCCCTAGAGTTTTTTTCGTGAATTTTTTCGGAAAAATTTATTTTTACATTTCTAGTTTATTTTTTCCCCTCAATTTCTCGTATACGAACTTACATGTTAACCGACGGGTCTCGTCCCCAAGGGGTTCGGAAACCAAGTGGTGCTCTGTACCTGTTTCTCTTCTCCCGGTCCAGCTGTTGCTTCGGGTTCTGGCTCGGTTGGAGTCCATTCCCTAGGAGAATAGTCCTCATGGTAATTTGGTGGCCGACCCAGCTTTATTTTCAGACGCTGCTTGATAGGTGTCCGAACCCAGGGCGTTTTCCCGCGGCTCAGCCTCTTTTGGCAGGTCGGACCGGTTCTGTACGTGACTGGTTTGGCCTTCTCCTCGGCTCTTCGCATCTGGTATTTTGATGTGGGTATCACCATCTTTATGGTGATCAGGTGGCTTCGTTGATGGTGTCCCACCTGCGAGCTTTGTCTCGGCGACAGTATGACGTTCCTGGTGTTTCTATGCACTATTCTTGCTCTTCGTAGGTTGTCTTCTCTTTCGCATCGGGTTGTTTTGTCCTTTCTTGGGTTTTCAGGATTACAGTTATTTGATGTTTCTTACTGTCGCATCATTTTGTGCGGTGCTGGCGGAGCCGCTCCGGCTTGCGTTCAGGGTGGACGTCGCATCTACCCCGTTCCGTGCACTTTCTCCTGTTTTGTTTCACCTCCAGCCTGCTCATGCGTTGCCTGAGCCATCCTTGTCCTTGATCAGGGTGCCCTCTTCTCCTCAGTTTGTGGTAGCCCCTTCGGTTCAAGTTTGGTTTTCATAGGTCATATTTTATTGGCATGGGCCTCTGCGGGTCGGGTCGGGGAGCTTCCGGCTCTTCCGGTGCAGAGGTTTCTGCTCTTTGGTTCTGCTGGTAGGTTTGTATGTTTGCAGCCTTTCTCAGTCCTTCTGGCGACAGTCAAAACGGCTGCTTTCCGGAGGGGTCCTTGGATTATTGATGCCTGATTGGTTCGGCCAGGGGTGCGTCCTGTGTTGTCCAGTTGCACCTCTTTGCCGTTACCTGCGTACCGTGTCTGGGAATGTGCTTTGGGTTGATCCGGTTCCCCTCGTTCCCTGTTTCAGGGCTCGGGTCTCCCAGGTCGTCCGCAGAGTTTTTAAATCTTCCAACCTGCGGTCTATCCTTGCGCCCGTGCTGTTCGGACGTTTGCAGCTTTCGCTGCTGTGTTGGTGATGTCTAGGGCTCATTTTGGGTGCGAGGATTTGAGGGTCACACAGGTTCCTGGCCGCTCGTTCTTTATGCGCGTGTCTGCTCCTGTGCGTTCTTGTTGCCTTGGATTGCAGGTTGAAGTCTGTTGTCTTGGCTTCGCATTGTGAAGTTTGTGGCGGCCACCTCCCGGGTTAGCCCTTTCTTTTCCTTCTCTTTGGGTATGAAGCTCCAGGGAGCCGTAGGGGCTCCCCACAGAAAACCAGCATTGAATGTAATGAAACACCTTTTTCTGGGTGAGCCCCGCAGGCTCCCTGGCAACCCTCCCTCCCACCGGTCTGCGTTTTTTTCGCGTTGGTTGAAGCTTAGCTTCCGAACTGATGCTAGGCAGCCGGTGTGGTGAGGTCCGGAGCTCCCTCATCCCCCTCTCGGGTCGGGGAGGGCTGCGCGGTCGATCGGCGCGGCAGTAAAGTGTGATGTTTGGCTTGTTTGCTTGTTTCCTTGGGATTGTAGGGAGTTTCTACCTCTTTGTTCGGTTTTATGTTTTAGTTTTTTACCATGTGGGGTTTGTTATGTTATGCCTACCTTTCTGGGTGCCTAACCCCAGTCGATGGCAGATAAGGAAAACCCCAACCACAAGGGAGTTTTCCAGGGTCATTGCTCCCTGAAACTTCTCTGAAGGGGCCAGGTTCTGGCACTGGTCCCTGGTAGGTCTGAACTCCTTAGCTAATGTCCTGGTCTAATATAACATACAGGCATACCTCAGAATAAGAGTTTAATCCGTTCCTGGAGACGCCTCGCCTTCCGAAAACTCGCATTCCGAAGTTAATTTCTCCATAAGAAATAAAGGGGTTTGAATTAATCCGTTCCTGACTACCCCAAAAACCCCACATCAAACTAAATTTTTATACCTAATTTACCTAATTCATCTAAATAAACCTACAAAACTGTGTTCCAGTTATTACTTACCTTGCTGTCGAGTGCTGTAGGCGTATGGAAGATGGTGAGGAGGGGGGAGGAGGAGAGGAGTTACTGTTTGGAAGGGGAGTCCCCTTTCATAATCACATCACATAACCCCATGCCTTGTAACACTATGGATACCACTTCTCTTTCTAAATTTTTCAAACCAGCCCCTGCTTGCCTTAAACTCTTTCTTATCTGCATCACTCGTTGCAGGGGTATTCTTTAGAAGGTCTTCGTGCAACACCCTGGCTTTCTCACAAATAATGGCCTCCGAAACACTATCACCCCTCAACTCCTTGTCGTGTATCCAAATTAATAACAACTTTTCCACTTCTTCAAGTATTTGTGGTCTTTGTGCCGTTAATGTTCTTACTCCTTTTGCCACTTTAGCACCCATAATCTTATTTTTCTTCTTAAGTATAGTGCATATTGTTGATGTGGCTTTGTTGTACTGCCTACAAAGTTCAACAACACGTGTACCGTTCTCATACTTCCGAATGATCTCTTGTTTCTCCTCAATTGTCATCCTCACATGAGCTTTCTGGCCTTTATCCTTACCACTGGCTTTCTTGGGACCCATGGTGAGATATATAATAACAAATTGTATAGACAAATCACCAAAAATCCAACAAAACACTGAAAATACGCGAGAAGAATTGATGTGGGGGTAGTCACTGAGCGCGAGACAATAATAAACTGAGGGGCGGCGGGGCGGAGGGGCGACGAACGCGCTAGGTCGGCTGTACGCGTATCAACAAACTCGCGTCCAAACTCGCCTCCCGAAGTAACCCTCGCCTTCTGAGACAAATTTTTGGAGTAAATACACCTCGCCTTCCGAAAACCTCGCATACAGGGACAATCGCATTCCGAGGTACCACTGTACATTAGTCCGATAAGTTCCAGGGAGCATCCGGGCCTCACCCAGAAAATGGCATTTCGTTACATTCAACGCTGGTTTTTTGTCCTTTGTTGTTTGCAGAGTTTGCGGTGGTGTAGTATCTGTAATACTGTAACGACCGCAGACATGACATGTAACCCCATACATGTCTCTTGCTAAGGATACTTCTTCCTTTACGACAGTGTATGTGTGTGTGTTCTGCATGTGAGTCACAATTATTATTACTGTGCGAAGGATTTATGTATTTTTAAGTGGCAAAATACCATGCTTGGAAAGGGAGCTTTTCACAAGCTTAGGAGTCATTTTATAGTAGATCAAACTCCCTCACCCACTTACCAATTTGCAGATATGTATTAGCTTACCAGTAGCAAGTTTTGTAAATCAAAATTTAATTAGAAAATTATGCATTACGTATTATTACAATTTATTTTCATCATTATACAAATTTTCTTTCCATTGTACCAGGCTAAATTACAAGAAGTCTTTCCAACAATCAAGGTGACAGTTGAGAAGAAAGCTGATGCTCTATTTCCATGTGTATCTGGTGCAAGTATCTGTGCAAAAGTGAGTATTTAATGTTATTAAGCTTGAAGTGCCTCAGATCATGGGAATAAATGAGACTAAGGATAACAAATATAAAAAGGAGAAAAGTGTAGAAGATTTTAATGTTAAACAGTGATGAGTTCAAAACCTGAATGTATGAATGTCAGAAAGCTTTAATGTTTTAGCATTTGTTATATTCTTGTTCTGCAAGAACATTGGCTAAAATCTTATGAAATTAAAAAGCTCTCTATATTTGTAGTGTAGTGGAGCCTAGAGTTTGTTGAGAGAGATAATAGTAGTTTGGGGGATAGCAAGCCACTAGTGCCACAGCACTCTCTCACTCTAGCACTCCCCTCGGGTCTTACTCCTCTCCCTCGGTGCCACTGTCCACCCAGAGGAAGCCGACTTACTTAATTGCCCACTGGGTTAGAGTTCCCTAAACCTGGCCTTGCCCCCGTGGCAAGTAAGGTAAGCGAACTGCTCCCATGCCTTCATCCAAAGTGCCCATAGACATGGAGACCTTCATATCTCATGTCTTCAAGCTTCACTCGGCCATCTTCTCCGTCGCAAAAGTAACAAAGTTTTAAGGTCGCCAATCTGACCTGTACTCATCTTAGGCCAGATAAATTCTTCTTGTTGCAGTATACTCATTTGAGTTTGCTACTTATTCAGTATTGTTTTGTGCTCTGTAAATCTCAGACAAACATACAGATAAATAAAGAGGGAGAGGAAGCAAATACCACCTTAAAATTATTCACCGTTTACTAAAATTAAAGCTACAAAGTAACGGCCTGAAAATATCTCAATTATTTTACAGATGGCAACACTCCTGTGAAAGTCAATAACGATATGGCAACACTCCAACAGTCTGTAGATTACTAGATGTGAGGCTAACTTTTCCTCTAATCGTTTTCTAGAATATGAGGCCACTTGAAACTGCCTTAACCCCTGGGCTGCTCTTGCAATTATAGCCTGCAACATGCCCAGTTGTAAGAAAACAAAAACAAAAATTTATCTTATAAAACTGTTCATTTGTGTTACCTGACCACAGGAAAAATAATAAAAAAATCGTAGGTGGCATATTTTGGCGGGGAAGAAGTCGTATTTGTTTTCACATTGGCAATCCTGCTGTATTACTGGGTGCTAAAATTTTGCATTTGCAAATTACTTTGTGTCCTCTACTATCTTGCCAAATTTCATGAAAATCTGAGATCGTCCACTTGTTTATGATGATGTGGCATGGAATGACTATATAGTTCCAAAGATTTAGTAGAAATGCCTTTATTATTATTCCAATTCATGGAATAATATTTTTTTTAATTTTGAATAATGTTTCATATTCTAGGTTGCACGTGATAGAGCCTTGAAAAAATGGGAATTTCCTGAAGGAATTAAAATTGACAATTGGGGTAGTGGATACCCCGGAGGTGAGTAAAAGATTTTCTGAGCTCTTACATTTGTCTGCTTCTAAAATTGATGACACCCATGTGGTGCTCCGAAAATAAATTCTTTCCAAAAAATTATTTTCACTTCTTATATTGTTAAAATAGTCTTTGATCACTGGAAATTAAACAAAAATGTTGTATGTGACATACTTCAGCTATGATGGAGCTGGGAAGTTGAGCAAATTATGGGCATTGAGCGATGGAGCGCCCTGGGTCACGCAGCCTCGCCACCCCGTGGGGGAGGCAGTTGCTGCGAATATAACGTTTCACAATTATTTTATTGTTTCTCGTTCATTTCTTCATTGTTTTTTTGCTATAATATTATTCAAATGTGAGTAATTTGTGGAATTTATATAGTTCAATGTGTGGAACATCGCTATGCTGAAAATTATGGGGCTCATAATAATATACATACATATATATATTTTCTAAGGTTTCAGGGGTCTTACCAGCAGCCCTTTCTTTGCTGCCTTTTCCCTGGACCCTTCCTTTTCTTTAAGGGCAGAGGGCGTGGAGGACGGCTCTGTCCCGGGGCTGTGGGGGAGGCCCGCTAGCAATTCTGAGGCTGTTTGCCCCTGCCTGGTTCTTCTGCTTCTTGGCGGGGTTTTTCATCCCTCTAGTCTGTTGACTTCCCGCATTTGCTGGTGTGTTTTCGGATCTATTGCATCGGTCACGGCTCCTTGTTTCTGGTGGCCATTTTCTTTCTGTGGGTATTCCCGCTTGGCCAACAGGGCAGCGCTGCGGTTTGTTTACATGTGCCTGGGTGTGGGAGCTCGCATTTTGGGTGAGTTTTTTCACTTTTATGGGTTTTATCCTCCTGTTGCCAATTCTTTGCTTTTTCTAGGGTGTTCTGCCCTTCTTCTGTCCCTCTGAGAACGCTTGGGTGTTGGTTTTTACACTGGTTTTTGCATTTTCTGTGTTTGGGTCTGTGCCCAGGTGTTTGGGCTCTAGTGTCCCTGTCTGTTTATGCTTGCTCCCACACCTTGTCCCTCAGTTTTCGGTCCGTTTTGGCCGTTTTCCTGGGGGTTCTGTCTGGGTGCAGTACTTTGCCCTTTCTGTGGTGTATATCCGCTGGCAAATGTGGTGGTTTGGGCTCCCCCGGGTTCAATTCGAGAATAAATGAACACAAAATATATTGTACGGGGACACAGAGAACAATGCAACAATACACAATGAAGATGCTGAGTCGCAACAATACGGGTCACAGAAACCAACAATAATTACACTAAACGAAAGTACACCGGGTCACAGAAACCACTTAATATAGTACACACACTAATGAACACAACACACTGACACACACTCGTGTCAATAAAACAATAATAAACACAATAAACTGACACACTCGTGTCAACAATGTAATATAACCTTACTTGTTGACCAGCCCAGCTTTGTTTTCAGACGCTGCTTGATAGGTGTCCGAACCCGGGACGTTTCCCGCGGCTCCGCCTCTTTCGACAGGTTGGACCGGTCCTGTACGTGGCTGGTTCGGTCTTCTCCTTAGCTCTTTGTGTCTGGTCTTTTGATGCGAGTGTATCACCATCTCTATGGTGATCAGGTGGCTTTGTTGATGGTGTCCCACCTGCGAGCTTCGTCTCGGCGATAGTTTGACGTTTCCTGGCTTTTCTCTTCGCCATTTTCTTGCTCTTCGTAGGTTGTCTTCTCTTTCACATAGGTTGTCTTGTCCTTTCTTGATTTTTTCAGGACCGTTAATTGATGCTTCTTACTGTCGCCTCGTATCGTGCGGCGCTAGTGGAGCTACTCCGGCTTGCGTTCGGGATGGACGTCACATCTGCCCTGTTCCACACACTTTCTCGTGCTTTGTTTCACCTCTTGCCTGTTCATGCGCCGCCTGAGCCATCCTGATCCTTGATCAGGGTGCTCTCTTATCTTTCCTCTCCTCAGTTTGTTGTAGCCCCTTCGGTTCAAGATTGTTTTTCAAAGGCCATATTTTGTTGGCATTGGCCTCTGCGGGTCAGGTCGGGAAGCTTCCGGCTCTCCTTCAGCACGGGTTTTCTGCTCCTTTGGTACTGGTGGTAGGTTTGTACATTTGCAGCCTTTCTCCGTCCTTCTGGCGACGGCCGAGTCGGCTGCTTTCCGGAGGGGTCCTTGGGTTATTGATGGTTGGTTTAGCCAGAGATGCATCATGTGTTGTGTCCGGTTGCGGCTCTTCGCCGTTACCTGCGTGCCGTGGCTGGGGATGCACTTTGGGTTGATCCGATTCTCCTCGTTCCCTGTTTCAGGGCTCAGGTCTCCCATGTTGTCCGCAGGGTTCTTAAGTCTACCAGCCTGCGGTTTATCCTTGCGCCCGTGCCGTTCGGACATTTGCAACTTTCGCTGCCATGTTTGGTGATGTCTTGGACTCATTTCGGGTGCGAGGATTTAGGGGTCACACAGGTTCCTGGCCGCCCATTATTTTGTGAGCATGTCTGCTCTTGTGCGTTCTTGTGTTGCTTTGGGTTGTAGGTTGCTGCCTGTTGTCTCAACTTCGCATTGCGGAGTTTGTGGCGGGCGCCTCCTGGGTCAGCCCTTTCTTTTCCTTCTCTTTGGGTATGTAGCTCCAGGGAGCCGTAGGGGCTCCCCACAGAAAACCAGCATTGATTGTAATGAAATGCCATTTTCTGGGTGAGGCCCGAAGGCTTCCTGGCAACCCTCCCTCCCACCAGTCGCGTTTTTTTTCACATTGGTTGAAGCTTAGCTTCCAAACTGGTTCTTGGCAGCCAGCGTGGTGAGGACCGAGGCCCCTCCCCTCCCCCTTTTGGGGAAGGGAGGGCTGCGCAGACGAGCGGCGTGGCAGTAAAGTGTGATGTTTGCCTGTTTCCTTGGGATTGTAGGGAATTTCTACCTCTCTGTTTGGTTTTTTGTTTTAGTTTCTTACCATGTGGGGTTTGTTTTGTTATGCCTACCTTTCTGGGTGCCTAACCCTAGTCGATGGCAGATAAGGAAAACCCCAACCACAAAGGGGTTTCCAGGGCCATTGCTCCTGGAAACCTCTCTGAAGGGACCAGGTTCTGGCACTGGTTCCTGGTAGGTATGAACTCCATAGCTAATGTCCCGGTCTAATATAACATACATTAGCCCGATAAGCTCCAGGAAGCCTCCAGGGCTCACCCAGAAAATGGTGTTTCATTACATTCAACACTGGTTTTTTTATCACCCTCTAATACCCATATAAATATTTGCTGAAGTTGCTCCCATTCATTTAAAACATGCAGCTCCTACAATACTTTTTTATTTGCTAGTGGATAGTGTAACTTGGCAAGTGTTGTATGCATTCATTCAGACTCTAAATATCTCATAGTTTAGAAAACTGTATGTGAAGGCAACTAGTTCCACAAAGAGTGTGTGTCTAAGATATAATCAGGGAGAAAGGAAGAATTATGTTGGGTCTTTCAGAATAGTATTGAGACTGGAAAATTGTTTGGGCTACATGGTAATAGTACAGTACTGCAAACTTCAGTTTAAAAACCTATAATGTTAAACTTGTTGCCCCATAATTTTTTCAGTCTAGCAGCTTTCTTGTTCCTTTCTAGATGCTGTAACCAAGAACTTCTTGATTAACTCACTTGACCAAGTATTTGGTTTTCCGGGAATTGTAAGGTTTTCCTGGTCCACTGCAGAGAAAATCATAGAAGAAAAATGTATTCCAGTAACATGGTGAGTGGAATTTGTATTGCTGCATTAATTTTGAAGATTGTATTTATTGTTGAAAATAATGTACTGTACAGTCTATACATTTATGATATAATTCATTTAAACAACATATTCAACTGCTGTGTTTGTCTTAGTGATGGGGCAATTAATCGGAACTGGTATTGAGAATCAAAAGAATCAAGCATTTTACAGTACAGGTAATCGGTATCAGAATCGAGAGAAATTTATCATAATTTCAGATTCTTAAAATGATTCTTTAACATTTAATAGCAAAATAATTTTTTGCTTTAGGTAATAATTAAAACTTTAAATTATGATTACCAATCAAGTATTATACAGTACTCTTAAAGTTTCATTTTACTATTGCAATGTAATTTTACCTGAAAAAAAAGGATTAACAATTTTATTGTATTGTAAATTTGTATATTAATGTTTGCACCTTTGACTACTAATCAGATGTTTTCAGTGTTTCATAGATTAATGATTACTTTTGAAAAAGAGGAACTAGCTATGCTTCTTTGATCTAGTGTTGCAATATTAACGTTATTACACAGAGAAATCACATTATCGTGATATAGCGATGAGAAAATCCCCGGGAGAAAATCCATGTGAAGGGCGAGTCACAGCCAAGTAACAATGAAGTAAATTAACGCAAGATCACCTAATAACATTAGTACACTAGACAACTAAAGACTGGCTGGTAGGTTGTGACAAGGTGGGTGGTGATGTTTTATAACCCGAGTGGGGAAAGGGGAGGTAATGTCTCGGCATGAACATCAATAAACACAAGTCAGTGAACTATCACTTTGCCTTCCAAAAAACTAAGTCCCAACTGGACTGACAAATGGTAAAGTCAAAAACTCTTCTTAAAAGTCAAAGTCCACAATGACTGGAAATATGACAGTCAAGAAACTCTAGTGAAGTTAGAGTTCACATTGACTGACTAATGGCAAAGTCAATTACATTGACACTTGAATGTATGACCTCAGCATGTCCAGTCCGAACTGGTTAGGCTGGGTCATAACAGGCACAGAGCCAGGAAATGTGAAAAGGGTATGTATGTGGGTAGGAAGGGAGGAAACAGGGAAGGGCATGTGTATGGACGAGGAGGAGATGGGGAGAGTGTGTAGGAGGATAGGGTGAGGGTTTGTAGATGGATATGGGGAGGTTGTGGGTAGGGGGGGGATGTAGATAGTGTGAAAAAAAATATACATACATACATACATACATACATACATACATACATACATACATACATACATAAACATACATACATACATACATACAGTACATACATACAGTAATTTGATGTTTGGAGATGATGCCATTGTAGAAGAAAATCATAACTTATTAGTAGATTAGATTAAAATTTCCTTCATCCCAGATATATGATACTGTACCTGTATTTGCATAATGTCAATATCGCCCACAGTTGACTATGCCTTGTTAACTAGGGAAAGCTGTACTCATTTACTAACATGTTTTAATAATGCAACATTTTCTTGCAGGAATGAAGATGAGGATGAGGAGGAGAAAGAAAAAACACCATCTGTCCTCCAGTTCTTTGCCAAGAAAACTAAATCCTCAGACGATAGTCCAGCTGCTCCTCCGCCCAAGAAGAGGAATCACTTTTTTACTGATCGCTGCCTTAAGTCTGTAGAGAGTTTTTAAATTAGTTTCAACATCATTTTATGGAAGAAGGTAGCTGGTGTGTAAGTATCAGTGTTTAATATAATATCATTAGAACTGGCCACTTGTATGCATTTATATGAATTTATAAAACAGAATAATTTGACCCTATGTAATGTAAATGATGGCCTTGTGTGCATATCCAGGGATTTCATTAATTAAAATTAAGTTTTGAGTTAGCCATACGAGGGTTAGGTAGGAAAGGGGTAATTCAAAATAACACATTCTTTGCTTCAGAGTTGAGCAAAGCTAGTACAGTATAATGAAACCTTGGTACCCAAGCTTAATTGATTCCAGAAGGCTGTTTGAGTGTCTATCTGTTCGAATACTGAATAATTTTTTCCCATAATGAATAATGTAAATTACATTAATCCATTCCAGACCACAAAAAATACACACATGAATACAATAAATAAATGAAATAAGTGCAAATATATATTTTCTTTACCTACACTTAGGAGAGTTGATTCCACTTAGTATGTGGAATGTGGTGAGGAAAAGGAGATGTTATTGTTTGGCAGGGAAGTCCTCTACCATAAAAACATCTGGTAAGTGTGCTTCTGGGGTTCTTTCTCTTTTCTTGTTTTCTCTCGAGACTCGCTGGATGCTTTTCTTACAAGAAATTTGTCCAGTGATATTTGTAGCAAGAACAGACACGGGTGCACCATATTTTGCTGTGAGTTCTTTTTTTCATGTGTCATGGTTCTGGCTAATTTTCTTTTTGTTTGACTCTTAAGCACCATAGTGACTTGTTACTGCTAAGAATAAAAAACTATCAAAGAAAATACAAGAAAGTTTACAGAGAAGTAACATTGAACAACAGCTACAGAGAAACTGACATGCTTGTTACATGTGTTTACATTTGAGTGCAGAGCAAACGGTCAACCATCGAGCACGAACACAGCATTTGCGTGCCAAATTGTTTGAATTTGGAACCTTTTGAGTACTGAGGTTCCTGTAGTAGGCATCCATCAGTCATAGGAGACTATGGAGTTGCACTCTGGTTGTTGGTCTGGGGTGGCCTCTCCAGGGCGCAAAGCCAGGGTAGGTAGATATGGAGGAGAAGCTGTCGCCCAGGCAGCGGTTTTCCCCCCTCTCCATGGCACTGAAAGTCTACAATGGAAAGGCAAACACCAATACGATTGGTTCCAGCATCGTCACAGGAACTGTCAGAACGAGGTTGAAGGCAACAACGAACTGTCATAGGGGCTCCAGTTCCGACGTTAACCTCAAAGTTGGTAAAAGTAGGCACAGGGACTCCAAACCCGGAGACCGCCATGGTCAGAGCCGGAGAAGAACCACCACAGCAAGGGCAAGAACGACCTCAGCCTCTCGAAGCAGAGCTTGGGCCACACGAGCCCCTGGAGGTGGACTTCCAAGCCCTGCATTTGTAAAATTGGAAACTACATTGTGTGTGTGTTCCTTTATCGTATGTTCACAGGGACAGTTCATAGATTTAATAGAATATACCAAATTTGACCCAAGATATTGTTTAGGGAATAAATTACAAAATATATTTTGCAGTACAGTATGTGTAAACATAACAAGCGTCTTGCCTTTATAACAACACAGTTTGTACCTCAGTAAACATCATTTGCAGTTGTATGTTTTTCCTGTTGACATTAAACTTCTAACCCATAATGTAACAAACACAATTGGACTCTTTGGGAGTGCTTCCAACTTAAACAAATATTAATACCATGTAGGGTGAATGTAACATTCCTATGTAACAGTATGTCACACGGGGAAAGTTTACCCTGTGTCAGTAATGGGCATCTGAGGAAGATAACATAGGCATCCTCATGGTATGAGTGAAGCTACATGCGATCACTAGTTGGAAACAAAGACCCCCGCGCAGTTCCATGTGGCGATTACAGTGGGAGCTAGACAGAGGATATGAGTTCCTAGGACAGTGTGTCTTGCATTTTGGGTGAGGAGCAGAGGTGCCCCTGGGTACATCAGGCTGGGATCCAGAGGTCACCTCCATCCCTCCTTTGAATCTAGTAAATTGTAAGTAACTTATATCAATGTTTAATTATTTGCATATTATAAATATTGCCTCTGATTGTGATAGGAAATAATTTAAGTTAGAATGTACATGTTAATTAAATAAATTACTATGAAATTGGAACATCAAGTCTTCATGTAAGTGTTCTCTTGTTCTCTTGCTTGTCGCCTTTCTTGTCCCCTTGCTTCTTCCATTGTCGTCTGTAATCTGTTTCCTTGCCCGTTTTCCTGACGTCTTGATCTTCCCGCTGAGTTGTGATGAATATGATCTTGTGTTTTTGGCAGCTAGTAGCTACACGGAGTTACTTATATTTATGCATATAAACAAAACTGAACATTCACAAACTTTTTGCCTAATTTTGTGGCATAGCTCCCCTGGCTTAACCCACAGTATCGGAGCTTTGAATATACCCACAGTCTCGCTGGAGCCAATTTATGTCACCTCAGGCACTTCCGGATAAGATCTTTGCCTCTCTCAGCCAACCAGTGGACCCGACTGCGGCTCCCTGCAGGCACAGTGGTCCATAGCCAGACTAAGAGACTTTGCCCTGCAATAAACTCAGTCTCTCTTTCAAAGATACGCTTAAAATTCTAGAATTATTGATTCGAATTATATTAAATTAAGTTTCAAATATAATAATGAAAATAATAATAGTATTAATAACAATAATAATAGTGGTAACCATGAAAAAAGATTCGAATCTGTACCATGGGTAATCTTAAGCACACGCCTTAAAGCACTGGATACATACATATAATCTGGGATTCAACTGAATGCTCTACGGGTCCTGAGGCATCGAGTTGACACAGAGACAAGGTTTCACACGCCTGTGGTAAAAAATAATAAATTACCAGCTTAAACTGCACACACTGGTGTGGTATAGGAGAGTTCCCCCACCCAGTATACACTGGTGTGGTATAGGAGAGTACCCCCACCCAGTATACACTCTGGTGTGGTATAGGAGAGTCCCCCACCCAGTATACACTGGTGTGGTATAGGAGAGTACCCCCACCCAGTATACACTGGTGTGGTATAGGAGAGTACCCCGCCCAGTATACACTCTGGTGCGGGATAGGGGAAACCCAAAATAACGTCGCTTTTCGTTCGTATGCGCTATGACCAAAACTGACGTAATTTGAAATTAAATCGGCTCACGAAAGTGATGTACTGTCCCGTTTTCTGTTTGGGTCCTCCGGCTTGGTCTGTAGGGTTAGGAGAGGACACTTTCAATTAACATTTTTCATGACGTTTTGAAACTTTAGGAGAATTTCCTGCCCTCCTAACCTACCAGAGGACCTTTAACTTGCTGCTTTGGAAAAAAAAATCCCAAATTTATTTTCATTTTTTTCATTTTCAAATTGTCAGTTTTCGGGCAAACGGCTAAATTCAGACGTAATTTGTAAGAGGACAGGTTGACCCCTCCCAATGCGCTCTTCAAATGCGCAAAGAAATCACATTAACATTGTATATCTGAGAACATAGTTGAAGTCATGCGCTTGTGCACACTCGTGGTGTGCAGAAGTGGGTAGTGCACACCATGAGTGTGTGTGTACACAAGTGGATGGTACACACCATGAGTGTGTGTGTGTGTGTGTGTGCTAATGGTTTAATCTAACACCGCCGTAGAGTCGTTAAGGGGAAGGAAATTGGGCCAGAGCGGTGGTAAAAGTTTTACTCCTGCTGTTTATTGGGTCCTTAAGTATCCCAAACAAGACGATGTGTGTTGCCTGTACACGCTCCCTTAACAGTGTACACCTTTGGTTTACCTACTGGCTTGTTTACTGATTACTTGCTTGACTTGTCTAGTTTACTTGTCTCGTTACAAGGCTCCAGAGTCCCGGGTATAAAGTTGTTTGTTTCGGTATAAACAAAGATAATAGGTTGTTAGTAAAGGTGTCTCAAAGCAAGTGAGTGTAACAGGATTTCGCGATCGTGTTTTTTATTAAATTGCATTTCTGATGTTTTCGTCATACTATTGACGCCGATCAAAGGGTTTCCAGCCTCGATTGGATATATTGTTACACGCCAGATACTGTACATCTGTACACAGTGAAATAAAATTCTTCTGAATGAAACACAAAGTGGATATTTATCGAAAACTACTGTTACTTGTTCAAGTAATATTGTGAGCGTGTATTAAAGGTATATCAAACTATGTCTAGAGATGTTACAAGAATCTAACCCCTTCTCGCAGTGCGAACTCCAGGATGAGGTATTAACGCAGCACGAATCTTCCACAACATCACCAGCATATAGCAAGCTGGCAAACACTACAGTGTTACTTAAAACCTAAATAAGGATTCCTTCAAGAGATTCTTTCTATACAACCTTTGCTAGACAAATCCTGGAATATGTAGTACCGACCTATAGATTACGCACCCTGGGAAGCATAAAACCAAAATTGATAACAAATACAGAGGTTATTAGCAAGATAATTGTCAGAACTAAACCCCACAGCCGTTATGATAGAAGAAACAGCTGAAGGATGTTATCAGAACCAAGATGCTGGGGAGAATTGACACTGTGGACAAAGACAGTCTCGTTTAACTGAAAGTAGAAGTGGACATAAATGTAAGCTGAAAATGCAAATGTGTTGAAGAAATGTCAGAAAATACTTGGATCATGTTCGGACGGTCAGCAAGTGGAATGCACTGAAAGTAGTCATGCACATACTGGGCATAACGAACTAGACCTCACGTCTCCTACGTCCCGTAAGCACAGGCTCTAGTCACTGACGCATCTGAAGCTGGAAACATTGCTATATATCCCACATTTGCCTGCATATTTTTGGTACAAATGGATTTTTTTTACAAGACGATGGTTGTATAGCTAAATTAAACTACAAAAAAATCTACCCCAAAAATTACAATTATAAGCTAATTTGTTTGTTTTAATTCCATAATATACTTTTGATTTACTTTTGTTTTTGTAAGGATTTTATCTCCATAAAAACAGCGTGAGCTTTACACATGTCCTTGAGGTCTTCTCGCTCCTTTACTACAACCTTTCCACAACTCGACCCTCAGTTAAACCAGCCGAGCCGAGATTTCTTAAAAGGCGGAGATTGGCGATCTTCATAATTCTACTGGCAGGTTCCAGACGCTGTAAACTGTCTCCAGGGGGTCCTTCAGGCGCCAAGACACGGAGGTAAAACCTGCTTCTGAAAAATTGGGCGACATTACAAGATGCTTCGTAAGCAGATCCAGAGACATTCCACGTCCCTCTCGCCCACCACGCACATTCCCACATGGGTCCTCAATATCCTCTGCGTGGACTGGAATTCTTCACTCCTCGAAATTCCCATACAAATAACAAACAGTACTTCCCATTGTAATTTATGAATATTGTAATTTACGATAATTACTATTATAATATTTTATGTTTGATGACCAAAACCACACATCTGAAGATGAAGAAACGACGA